TAGATAAGCATCAAAAGCCAGCTTGTTTTAAAGGTGGACTGTACCTGAGTATTCGCAAAAAAAAAAAGGTCCGCTTTCTGATCAACATTGACTGAATGCCAGTTTGCATATTTTTCTGTGCAGTTTAAAGAAGTTGCTAGATTGTTTTACTCTTTGCTAGGATAGCTTGGATAAGAAGTGGGACACCAAAGACAAAAAAAAGTATTGCTAATAATAACTACTTGGGGTAAACTCCAGCTACCAATATTTTTGGTAATATTAATGTAATTTATTGGGACCGTAAAAAAAAAGAATGGTAAGCAGGGAATTATTTCCCTTAAAAAAATAACAGGGTTAAGGGACCAGGAGTACATAAATATTTCCCAGAGGATGTTAAGTGTGACATTTCTCTAAGAATCCATTTCAACAGTATGAGAGACCAGGACGTGATGACAGAAGTCTACAGTAGTGTACATTTATGTTTTCCCTGTATAAACCAAATGGTTACTGTAATGATCCATTAAAGTGGACACTTTAAATGTACTTTATCCTTATATGAAACATTTTAGAAACACTCAGAATTTGAAAAATAATGAATGAGAGAGCATTGAGAATGAGGGCTGAACATTTAATAATACTTAACAGTACACATGAAGATGAATGCAACACTGCAGAATACTTTGAAATTCAACTTTATGTGCCCTGTAATACTACATAGTTGCATTAAATACCATGTGATATACAAGCACATCTAATAGTGTATACTACTATGTTACTTGATAAGTTAAAATAATATTAAATACAGAATACATTACTTGGCTTATCTAGCAACATAAGGGCAGAGCGGTGGCACTGTGGCTAAGGATCTGCGCCTGTGGCTGGAAGGTTGCCAGTTCAAATCTCGCAGCTGGCAGAGGAATCCTGCTCCAGGGGCACCTGGATATAAATGCTGCTCTGACCCCAAGCTTTTCTCTCTGTGTGTCTCATGGAGAGCAAGCTGGGGTATGTGAAAAGACAAATTCCTAATGCAAGAAATTGTATATGGCTAATAAAGTGATCTTATCTTGCTTGAAATAATAATCTGCTTGAAATTTTCCACTTTTCTCTAAATGCCAGGCATAGAAAAGACATAATTAAATAAACATCTCAAACTAATAGTTCTATATATATATATGATTTTTATGTGACACAAAAACAGTTTTGCAATGATTTGTTTTTACTAGAAATTTGCCATTTTCACTCTGCTTTTTAGGGTGGAGTTTGTCATTTGGGCATCAAATCAGTGAATTATCACGTTCACGATCATAAATACTCAATGGCATAAAAATCGGGAGATGTTAAATGTACCCCCTGTAATGACTTAGTTTCTGGGTGCAACATTCAGGTCTGGAATTGTTCTCCGTCCCCTCTACAACATTGATGCCTGATGTATCTGATTTGAGTGCCACCTGATGAGACTACCAGCCTCTTATTTTTTTGTTTTTGCAATTGTTTGAGAGACATTGAGAGAAATGCTCCACCAAGCCGCTTGTTTCCATGGCAGTGGTGGTTTAGAAGTAGCATTCGTTTGTGTGTATCAAATACACAGGAAACCCCAGTTCTTTGTACATTGGCTTGGTGTACAATTCTTTCCTGTATCTGTTTTTCTCACCGCTAAAACAGAATTAATTTGACTTTGTAAGCACTGGTATTATCTGGTTGCAGTTTTTATTTAATGTATCCTTTGCTGTGTGAAAAGAATGGGCAGATGCTCTTCTTATCTGTGCTTCTACCCATTAGCAATATTGTTTTTTTCCCCCATGATGCAACATTGATAGTAATAATAATTGCTTACAATTATGGACACTCCACTCAAAGTGCTTTACAGGTAATGGGGACTCCCCTCCATCACCAGCAATGTGCAGTATCCACCTGGATGATGTGACGGCAGCCATAGTGCGCCAGAACGCTCACTACACATCAGCTATTACAGGGGGAAGACGAGTAATTAAGCTAATTTATAGATAGGGATAATTAGGAGGCCATGATTGGTAAGGGCCAATGGGGAAACCTGGCCAGGATGCCAGGGTAACACCTCTACTCTTTTCGAGAAACACCCAGGGATTTTTTTAATGACCAAAGAGAGTCAGGACCTCAGTTTTACGTCTCATTTGATGGGCGGTGCCTTTCTACAGTATAGTTTCCCCATCACTATACTGGGGCATTAGGACCCACATAGACCTCAGGGTGAGTGCCCCCTGCTGGCCCCACTAACACCTCTTCCAGCAGCAACCTTAGTTTTTCCCAGGAGGTCTCCCATCCGGGTACTGACCAGGCTCACACCTGCTGAGCTTCAGTGGGCTGCCAGCTGTGAGTTGCAGGTGATATGGCTGCTGGCATATCATCAGCATAGTGCCTTACAGATGAGGCAGCACCGATTGGAGGAGGAGTACAGTATGTCTCTTGCTGACATCACTGTAAGCCTGGGAAACTGCAGATAGTGCTGTTTTGCTAAGAAAGCTCTGGCTAACTGACCCTATGCCAGTTGAAAGTACAGCTGTGTGCTGCTCTTTGGACAGTCCTGGGCAAAACGTTCAATGACGTGATCCAGTATCTAAATCATGCTGTCCGGACCATACTGTAGATGTTTTCATTCATGTTTTCCCTTGTATAAACAGAATGATTACTTTAATGACCTCTTAGATTGAGCACTTAAATGTAATTAATCGTTATCTGAAACGTTTTAGAAATGCTTAGAATTTGAAAAACAACAATGAATGAGAGAGAGCATGTACTTGAAGTGAGAGCTTATACTGGTTCAGGCTCCATTGGGACGATTTTCAAATTTACACGGTATATGCAAGTATAGAATTGGAACATAAAGCATTAAACATTTCTTAATGATTCACATGCATTTCTGAGTGGTCTGAAAGTCTTGGCATTTGGAAAGTCTTATTTCCATGTTGTGCACATGGAAGTATGCCTTCTGGGAGCTTTATTTGAAAGTAGAAATGAGGGATTGTGTTGACTTGTCTGCCTTTAGTGTAGAACTCCATTCTGGTTCCTCTTATAAAAAAAACCAACACATCTTCATTATGATTCATTATGAACAGCACAGTTTATTTAAAAATGGGCTTTGCTAATTTTGGCACCTGTGTGTAATTGTTTCTGGGTAATGTTGACTGCAAGATCTGAAGTCGTTTTTTTTTTATTTAGCGTTCTGTCCCTGTGAGAGCTCTTTTGCTGTCTTGGTTAGAGGGAGTATGGTGTGTTGCTGCTCGGTTTCTGGACAGAGAAAAAGGGTCTTACTCTCTTCTTTCTCTAAAATACTTCCCCAATGCCCCTCTCACAGGGGAGCTTTCTGGGTGAGCGCTAATGGGCAAAGATAAGGTCTGAACTTTTGCTCTTGGCTGACTGGATTGTGCAATGAATTACAGGAATAACGCCTGAACAGTTTATGCATTTCCAAATGTAATCAAATAGTGTTGCTTTGTAAAACTGGAAACGGAGCAAAAAAATGGGTATTAAATACAGCTTGATCTTGTTCACAGGTGATCGCTGTAGCTGTCCTCTCTGCAAAAAAACTAATTTAGAAGTTGTTTTTTTATTCAGTGGCCTTGGGTTTGGGAAGGTGCTACATAAGTTATTACTCTTTACAATTCCTTTGCAGTCATAATATTCCTGTCCACAGCAATCCATTATTCATGTATTTATGAAGCACAAAAGACAGGGGATCTCAAACTCTGGTCTTGGAAAACTAAAATCCAGGGTTTACAGGTAGTCTTTAAATACTTCATTTCTAAAGGCTTGGAACAATATAAGTTTGATAGATTTAACGAGGTGGTTTGTTTTTGTTTAGAGATCTTTTAGGACACAAATCGGAATATCCTTCTGTCCTTAAAGACAGGCGTTACCTTTATTTGAAACATTGCTTGCTTAGTTGCTTAATGTATACTGCTTATACAGTACAAGGATTCCCAGTCTGTAAATACTGTAGGTGATTTAGGGTTCGACTTGAAATAGAATCCAATATGTAGACTGAAGCTGAGCAGTAATTGTGGTGATAATAGTAAAACAAAGCCATGGGAACAGTAGAACTATACAATCAGCTGGATGTAATTGATTATATATATGCAATTAACTTGACCAGTCAACTGAGTGCAGACCTTTACTTATAAGGCAAAAATTCCACTTGGTTACACAAATAGACAAAATTAGTGGTCAGGCATGTGGGTAAAAAGGCCACATATGGGTCATCTCTGTCAGACTGCTGACTTAAGGCAACCTTTGAATGGAGCTGACCTGATTTTAACTTCTGCAGTACCTCGTTGTAGTTACTGGCTGCTTCAAATTGAAAAGCCTTCCAAATGTAGCAGAGGCTTACAGAAGAGCTGTACAGTGTTCATGTACTGGAACATCTGGAGGCCTGGCTTGCATCCCACCAGCTAGGGAGGATAAGAGTGGCCCAGACTAGAGAGCACCCAATGGCTTAAAACTTGTATTAATCCATATTTGGCACGGAGAACCTCTATGTGTGCTTTGGTTTGCAACAGGACTCCAGACGCAGACATCTAAGCGCAAGTTCATGCAGAAGAAAGCAGCCCTCCAAGTCTTAAGCATGCATTGAAACTGGAGGGTCTAGACTTGCTTGATGAGACCTCCATTTGAGGTCCTGACAACCTGACCATTAAAGATCCCATGATGCCATGGTGTTAAATTCTTCCGTTAAATTTGCATAAGAGCTACAGGTCCATACTTAAGTGGTTGGTCCACTTCAGGGTGAATGGAGGTCCCCTCTTTTCGTGAATGGCCTTGTGATCCTTTTGGAGAAGTACTGTAGAAGTGCAAGCAATTAGTATTATAAACAGGACTGCAAACAGTTCGACAGTCCTCCACTGCAATTAAAAAAACTAGTGATGTGTGAAGATGGCATTGTGAATGTGCTTGAATAAAGTGGCGTTTTTCTTTGAATGTGTATTTGTTTGCTTCCCTCTCTGGGAATTATGCATTAATCCTGTCCCCCTGTCTGTTTCTTTTTTCAGATGTGACCAGTCACTCCAAAGGAAGTGATACCAAGAGGTACAGCGAGATTTTCCGGGAGTTTGACGCCTTGGACATGTCCCTTGCGCAATCGTATGTATGCTTGACCCCGTGTGCTTTTAGTCCTATTTATATTTAACCTACTGTTGTCAAGCCTGTACCAAGGAAAGTGGGGGTGTTGCAAAGCCTGCTTATTTACCTGGCACAATGCTTGTGCCATCTTGGCCATCTTCTGAGATCTTCATCACCTGTGTCCCACCTCATAATTGTACCCCTTTATTTAGGTAAAATAGATGCCTACATGCATATAATCATAACATTCCAAAAACATTTTCTTTGAGCTTTTTGGTATATTTCTTCAGTCCCTCTCTAAAGTACCGCTGGATAGTTAAGCTTCTTATAGGCTTCAAACAAGATTCTCTCAAAAGTTTTTCCCCAGAAGAAGAGCCCATTGCCTTACTTGTAAAACCTCATCATGTCTCTGGCCCCTCCCTTCTCATAACTGTATCAATAACTGCCTGGATGCTTCTCCCCCAAACACACACACAGACACCCCACCAGACATGCTAGATGTTATCTGGAATACACTAGATAAGATTTTCTCTTCGGAAGGCACAGATGCCATCAGAGATAGTGTTGTTTCCGCTACAGTGTGCAACATCCTACCTGGTGCCAACAGTCAACCAAAAACGCTCACTGACTGATGGCGCAAACCACAATGTTGATGCTATCAGAAATAGTTAATGTTGTTTGTCCTCAGCGTAGCTATTGCAGTGTGCTGCTGTGGTGATTCGGCTTGTGTTCCAGTTAAAGAAGGCTACCATTGTTTTTCTCACCGTTGTGTAAAACCTAAAGCAGTGCTCCTTCTCAGCCTTTCTGTGGGAGGAAAGCTTTCATGCTGGAGTGCTGCTGGGATTGGGTACTTGGCTGGTGAAGTAGAAACTCCAGAGGTCACTGCTTGGTGGCTGCAGCTTTCATTTAGGGGAATAAATAGAAGTAAGTTTACCAGGCATGTAAGCCACATCTCCATTTCAGACAATATGTTCTCCACTGTCAGGGAGGCTGTTATGGCTGCCATGAATGTTTCCAGTAAGGCCTATTGTCTGGTGCCATAATCCTGGGTCAAGGACCTTTTTAAACATTTCTGCTAGAGCCCAAGGAGGTATGTTCCCTGATCACCTTAATTATCTAGAATAAGGGCATTTGTGATCTCACGGTTTCTTTGGCCAAATGCAATGATATCTTCCTAAGCCCTTCTTAAGATGTGGTGGGTGTGATAAACGTACTTTTCATCAACCTTTAAAGAAGCAGGAGTTACGGTAGACCTTCAGATCTGGATCATTTGGAGTCAACATTACATTTGTTTTTTGTTAACTTAGGGCTATGTTGAACTGGGGAGAAAGGAACTATTTTTTGTTTCCTGTCTGTCCTTCAGTACCGTGGATATTCTTGCCACAGACCCCGACACCCAGTCCATCACAGAGACTGTATCTTCTGAAACCACAGAAATAGATGAGCTCACGGTGAGTAAGAATTCCGCTAACCTATCTACTGTGTCCAAATGGCACAATCACATTTCACCTTGACAGAAACCAGTTTACACCAGGGGTTCTTGATTAGGGTTCTACTGGGTCGTGGAGGTCCTGGGAGACTGTCCGGTGGGACTTCAGGAACAGTGGGACAATACTTCATCTCCTCATCTAGCACACTCAAATTGGCATGGCTATATGTTGCTCTGGCACTGCCTGATCTGCATTTTTTTACCTGAAATGTTACTTTTAAGATTTTGTAATGATGGAATCCTTATTAATTGCAAATTTTATGGAATAGTTCAGGTGCGTCAGCATGCGTAGGCTGCAAAGAAATAAGTGATAGGTTTATTCCATGCTGAAAAGAGAAGAAAGAAAACAGAATGTTTCTTTCTTCTCTTTTTAGCATGGAATAAACCTATCACTTGTTCCTATTTTATTAAATGTTTTTTGGGAGGAATTTATTGAAAACAAATAACTGAAAAGACTGACAACCCCTCATTTTACAGTACTAGTTAATGAAACTTAGTGTAATGCTGGGATCTCTATATTTATCATTCAACTTTAGTTCAATTGTGAGCTGGTAGAGCTTCCTGGGTAGGGAATTAGTGTTGCACCACCCTATAAAATCCACAGGAGATGAGATGTGTGTAACACTTTCTCTGGACCATTTCCTGTCCTTAAAAGCTTCTAAGAATCAATTTTTCCTTCAGCTGTCAGCATGTCAGATTGTGTTACTGAGACCAAATCCTAAAAGACTACAAAGAGAAAATATAAACTCAAAGTAGAGAAAGTGTACAGTATGTACATAATGCATTGAAAAAACAAATTCAAATCCCTTTAATCTTCAAGCATCTAGATCGAGTGTATCTAACGTGATAAAGAACTTAGCTATTTATTTCAGTGTTGAGCCAGATCAGGAGGGTAACCATTTTGCTTTTCATTTCAGTCTGATGACACATTTTATTTGGAGTACCGTGATGGGGAAGACCGGGAATGTATGTTCACTAGTAAGTAAAATGATGAAGTTGTTTTCTTTCTTTTGCATTTGCTGTGCTAAGAAAACACCAATGCATTGTTGCTGATTAACTGGGTGCCCAACACAGACCCTTGGACAGGAGCCCCAGGCTGCAGAAGTGAAAGGCTGGTGTCTAATCCCATTGCATCTAATAATCCCCTGGACTGTAAACCAGGCTTTCGGAGATTAAATTGCTGCTCTGCCATATGTTAGGCCCTTTGGTGAAACGGACTTAAATCCAGGCCTGCAGAGGCAAAGAACTTGATGTGTTAATATGACTTGACAGAATCGTGCAGTGTCATGAGCTATGGCTTTTGAAGGATAATCATAGCATAGATATTGATGCAATACAGGCAGTTGCCTGAGTATTTTACTGTGCGAGTACAGTATAGCTTTATTCTTTAATAGTTACTGAATTATACAGAGTAGTGCTGGAAAGATTGACTATTTCAGCAGACTGTTCCATATCATTTGAGCAAGCTGAGGATGATGCCCTGATACATTTCTCTGCCTTTACCTGAAATATGAAGAGCTGTGGGGGCATTGGGGGACCCCTATTCAGCACATCCAGGGCATGAAGTTTTGGGGATATCCCTTCCCCACCTTGCAAGTCCTTGGTGTGGAGGATGTGTGCCTGAGCCCAGGGACGAATTCTTTAATTGGGAAATGGTCAGCCACAATGCAGTTGAATCACAGAGTTGGAATATTATCCTTATTTGAATACAAAATAGGGTGGATATTGGTTGAATTAAAAATTGTTTAGCTCAGTTGGATGGTGATGTGGTCTGGTTGTAGTCCAAAAGACAGCATTTTGATCACTTTTCAATGGTGTTTTAGCACTGCGCTTATCATGTTCTGCTTTGCAGCATGCGTGTCAGGTTTTAGTCGCTAACGAAATAAAGGAGAGACTTTGATCACCCCATTGGTCTGTTACTCTTGTAATGGGCCCTGGCATTGGCGGTTATGCCTTTGTGTGGCTGTTTTGTGGAGGTTAAAAGTTAAAGCCAGGTCATATATCTTATGGCATTACCATAATGCATTATGTGGAGCAGATTTACTATGTATGCTTTTCCATATGATACACCTCCAAGGTATGAAAGATTACACCTTAACAGTAAACTGCCTTTTTCTCCCCCCTATCCCCATAATTTCCTATGGTTTATCTACTGTATACTTGCTACAGAAAGCCCTGTTAATACCATAATTTCCCATACTATAACATTGGGGGGGCTACCTGATGCAGCCCTTTAACATTTACTGTAGTGCTGTCATAGTCTGTTGTAGGAATCTCCTGAACACTGCTTTTCTGCATGCTGATCCAGAATACACCCATGGTATAAATTTCCATGCAAATCCACAATGCGAATTGTTACTGAATTACATGGAGCAGTGCTGGACTGTGTTTTAACAGCCTAGTCCTAGCTAATTTGCTCTTGATTGTTTGTAATTAGTCACACTAACAGATTGCCCTTTGGCAATGGGATTAGGAGTTGTGGATTATTCTCGGATCACATCTGTTCAGAGTCCTAATAGTACAGGTTGATCCAACCACTGAAACACTTGCAATAATTGGGGTTGGAGCAGGAATCTGATGCTGTTGAAAAGATAAATAGGATCAGTCTTCCTACCCACTGCTAGAGCTGTAACGTACAGTTCTGAAATGCCTCTGCTTTTTAAAAACAAATCAGACATTTTTGAAGAGCTAAAATTTTCATAAAACAGGTCCTCACTCTCAATCAGTTGTGCTGTCTGTGCAGATCAAATAACTTTCTAATTTCTTATCTTCTTGTTCTTTGGAAACGGTAAAAATGAATCAATTTGAATGGGTTTCACTGTCTTCCATTTTGGTAAACCAGCTGTTTCTGTCTGTGCATCTGTGTTGTAATTGTACTGGGAAAGAACGGATGCTTATCAGGAAGATGAGTCAGTTGTACAAATAATGATTGGCGGTATATTGAGTTACATTACTTTCAGCTAAAAAGGGCTTGAAGCTCCCTTGGGTTCTGGAACAAAACTGTGTCTTAGCAAACGGCTGGCCTTCATGGCTACATAGTAATGCTTACAGGAATGTAGAATGCCTAAAACAACGAAAGAAAGGTTTTAAGGAAGAGCATCCCAGAAAGTGTCGTGGGCACATTCAGAAATGGGGAAGTTTTCACAGTGACTTATTTACAGCAATTCCAGAGAAATCATCTCATGTGTGACATTTCTGATGTACCAGAGGGTTTTCCCCATAGATTTCCATCAGTGTTTTTGTGTCGGGGGTGGTGATGCGGGTTTTCTTAGAAATGCATTTTAATTTTTAATGAACTTTCAGGAAATTAAATCCCACCATCAAAATAAACGAGTGCAAAAATCAGCACATCAGTGCTGTATTTTTTTCTTTTTTGGGGTGACCTAGGAAAATCTTTAATTATTGACAGGGTCCGATCGATTTTTTTTTCACCTCATTCTGCAGCAGGTTTGCAAGCTACTGTACATGTAAAATCCACATGTGAAAAAGGCACAGGATGACCGATTCCTTTGCCACTCCAATGTAAAAGGGAATAGGCAGTAATGAATTAAAAGGTTTCAGTAAATAACTGCAGATTTAAGTACTGAAACCGGTGTGAAACAAGTAAATGGGTTTCTCGCTAAGTTAGTGACAGCGGGATTGTTGGAGGTGGATTTCATCAATGAATGCTAGGGCAAAAATTCTCCAATTTCTCCCCTAGTGAGCATGTTGGCCGAGCTGGGCTTTGGCTTTCCCCTGAATCTGACATGACAGACTAATTTACAGTGACCTCAGTATTGATATCCTCCAACATTGGTTCTCCGTCCAGGGCAGGTCTATCATTAATATGCTCTCTCACACACTGTAATCTTGGCTCTACCTGATTTAATCTGATTTTCGGTCAAAGACAGCTGTCTCTTCAAACACATGCAGACCACACAGCTGGATTTGAAGCTGAAGAGGATTTGGGCTTAGGTGACAGATGATAGCTATTTAAGGGATATAGAGAAGTGCCAGAATTCTGTCACAGTGTATTAATTGCCTTGATTTATCAAAGGTTAATGTGGGAAATCATTTTTTTAACTCTTTCACTAAAGCTGAACAGTTGTCCAGTGGCTGTTGCCACATTCTTTCCCCATTTAGTTCTAATTACTGTACATTGAATTGGGTGGGTGGGGTTTGGGATTCTCGCTCGCATCAAGCAGTTGAAAATATTGGCGTTGTTAACCTTTAACATTTACAAGTGAACCAATTGTTTACATGTCAGGGTTTCCCATTGTCTTTAATGACTGTCCTAATAGTGTTTCTCCAAAGGGGTCCTAATGTCTACAGAATACTTTTTGGGATTACAGTGTGGGCTCAGTTTGAGGGCTTCTGCTAGTGTAGCATATGCCTCGTCTTTCTCACACCTGAAGAAGGCTCCATGGCCGAAACGTGTTTTCTTTCTTCTTTTTTTCAGCATGGAATAAACCTATTACTTGTTCCTTTGCAGCCTACGCATGCTGACGCAGCTACCCACCTGAACTAGTGTAACATATGTTCTTTGCATTGTATCAAGTAAATGGATCAGTTAATAGACTGGCTGGAATTTCCATGTAAGACCGTGCTAGTCTGTTTTTGGATGTTCATACATCGGGCCTTAATGATAATTCACATATCAGTCTGGTTTGAGATCACCGAGTTTATCGGAGAGATGTAAAAATCAGCTATTCTAAAAGAATTGGTCTGCGGTAGTCCTTCCATTGCTTACTCAGTGCTGAAAGCTATTTTGTAATAAAATCATCATTTATGATGTACAGTATGTCCTAAGGATGACTACAGTAGTGCTTCTCCTGTTTGTAAAACCATAATTACAAATGAGTGAACTGAGCCTGTTAGTAATTGATCCAAGCATCTCATAAAGCCATTTCTTGTACAAAGTCAGGGTATAGACTTTGACAAAATGGTGTGTAACTTGTCCCACACTCCCACAATCTTTTGTGTCAGTAAGTGCCTCCTGTCCTGATTAGCAATGGCAACCAGCTGTCTTGAAAGAAGCCAGGGTATCAGCTTTAAAAACACGATAGTGTAGCTTGTCCACACTCCCACAACCCTTAAGAGACTTGTATCTGTATATGGAGAGATTACAACACTGCTGTAGTGCAATTACTTGTAAAAATGAGAATGTTTCAGTTCTTGATTATAGGACTACATACTTGCTTCCTACAGCAGAAAAGATTCAGAAAGGTGTGAATTTCACTGGTGTTCCACCTACCTGGAGGTCCAAGAATTGTTAATGTCCCGGACAAGTGATCCAAAAAGCACAGGGGCCAGTACTGGTGATTCATGGCTCCCAAGGCCATTGGCCATCCTTGACTTACGTCAAGAACCAGATTGAACTGTGTCCCACATTGCAAGGCAATCAGCCCGTTTGCGGTTTCTGGAAAGGGGCTTGGCCCAGCTCCGCGAGAAAAAGAAGCTTCCACCATCTTCCATGGCAAGCCCTGTCACACTGTTGGTGCTAAATCCCATTCCTCCTTAATGCCTGTCACTGCCACAGTCTGCTCCAGGACAGAGCTAATCCTTATCCTGATGCAGAGAAAGATGGGGAGAGCGAGAGGCAGAGGGGGAAAAGCAGTCTGTTATACAGGCATGTCTGCGTTGTTGGCTTAATAATATTTCTCAAACTGGAGCACATCCGAGTGGTCTAAATCGGCCGGAGTGGACATACAAATTTACCCTGTTGGACTATGTGAGCACTTGCACCCATGGGACTGTGAAATCTGGAGGAATTCTGTGGTTGGAACCGTGAGGTGGCTGTCTTGGTTAGAGACGCGTGAGGTTATGGAATGGCCTTGGCGCGTCCTTACAAGTAGGAGAGAGTGAAAAAGCTAACTTTGGGTAAAGGGATTAGACGCTGATGCACATTTATAAAACTGAAAGTGAAAGAGACTTTTCTTCTCTGTTACAATTGAACTTAAGATGTTAGAACCTCTCCTGTAAGAGTCATTGGTATTTAACAAGAAAGTCAAGAAAAAAGCAGTTCATTTATAGGTGAAGCTGGGAAGGGTCTTAGTATTGGTTTGTCCATAGTAATGGAAAATGAAGGCGTTGTGGGAAGGCAGTATAGTTAGGAATTGATGTGTCAGAAGTATCTTGGTGTCGAGGATGGCCGGATGATGAGCTGTTAGGAAAGTGAGTATGCTGAGAAACCAATAAGGAAGCCTCAAACTGCAGTTTGGGGAGGAAGGAAGTAGCTAGCATTCACAGTCATTCCAGTGGTACAACCTAGGAGCAGCTGCGGGTGTTGATCTTTCAGGGTGGCCAGGGGAACAGAGAATTGCAATGCCGAGTGTAGGAACAGCGGAGATAAAAAATTTGGTCACACTGTGACGCCGTGCAGGGAAACGAGTTGCCCTACGTGGGAAGAGGCTGAGAGAGGCGATTGCAAACCTGCGGTGAAATCCTTCAGTGACAGGAGACTTGAGAGAGACTGATCAGCTGGGGATCTGTTAGAAAGGAGGAGGTGTGCTTTAACAAATCCCTCATAGCGTTTGGACCACAAATGAAGAAGAAAGGTCTAGTAAATCTGTGAAGCAGATTGGTCTGTTGAGGTGAATAGATGAACTCGTCTTTATTGGGCATCGAAGACATGGATAGAGAGAGAAGTAAGCCAGTCCTGTTTGTTGTGCACGAGTGTGATGGGAGAGTGACAGTACTTTAAACTCCAGTGTACCTGAAATGGTCTCGAATCAGTCATAAATCCAAAGCAGTTTGTCTTTCCTGTTCCGTTACCGCTGTGTGAAGGATCTGCCAATTTTCACAATTTCTTAGGGAAAGATTTTTGCGCTTGGCCAGTGGCAGGTGCCCCTTCTCCTGTGTCCGTCTGTGAATTCCCTCTTGTGGCCGTGAAGATGTGATTGCTTGAATTCTGGAAGTGGAACGGTTTTGTACAAACGGCCAGTGATTTTGGAACTGGGACTTTGGGGGAGCGAGGGGAAACTACAGATTGCAGAGGGATAGGGATATTGGTGTTCTCCAACAATACTTCAGGCTTTTACTTGGCAATAATGCTTGTGTACACTCTCTCAGTCCAGGATGCTGACACGGTCCTGCAGCGCAGTGAGGGGGGTGTGGAGATAGCACTCCAGTATGCTAAAATGTGGTGCAAATATGCTAAGGATCTGCTGACCTGGATGGATAAACGATTCACTCTAGGTAAGTTCTGTTCCACACTCTCCTTTTAAAAGCTTTCCTCTTAATGGTAAGGTCTGTGCAGAAGTCTAGCCTTTTAAGTTAACATTATGGGGATGTCAAACTCCTTCAAAAGTTGGAGCATTTATTAATACTCCTGAGCTGAGGTGCATTTATCTATGTCTAAAGTCCTGGCAAAAGCCATGAGGAAATTAAGACAATGTTGTTGTTTTTTCCCAAAAACGTAAGGTGTTTATCATAGCATTCCAATGAAAGTGACCTCCATGGGATTAGTCTGACCATTTTAATTCAGGCGTGCGTGACCTGCACAACACCAGTAATTCAACATCGTAACTCATATGTGAACTCCAGTCTCACTCACACATTACACTGCCTTAATAGACAGTATTCTTCATGCTTGAAAACATTTACATAGACATGTCTAGAAGTGTCCCATTAATTGCAGATACCACTGAGTAAACTCTGCATAGCACATCAATCATTTTTAAGTGTCATAATATTTACAAATGTAGCATAGCTCTTTCAAAGGCACTCTGTCTAGGGATTTAAGCAGCTAATTCCTGAACAAAGTCCACTACAAAATACTTGGAAATCCAAGAGTGAAGAAAGCCAGAATCTGGCTAACATTCAGACATCAAGCAATTGTAAGTTAAGTTGTAGAAAACTCAAACTAAATCATCTATCACCTCTTAGAAATGCTTTAAATAGATTAGAGGTTTAGCAGCATGAAGTCTGAGCATTCCTTGACGGTTTTCTGGAGTGTGGGCTACTGGTATGTTAGTGGTGGGGCATGGAAACATGACAGAAGGAGAACTAACAATAGACTTGGGTGATATTCATCACGGGAGGTACCTACAGAAGGATGCAGGCCATGTACATTGCTCGGTGAAATTTCATGCAGTGTCTCGGTTGAAATCAAATCCTTGATAATTGCCTGTCATCCTCAATGACCTACCCTGATCTTGAGAGGTGCGGCAGAGGAGATTATAAGAAGATTATGGAAATAAGCAGATTTGTAAATGTGGTGCGGCAATGACGGCATGGATTATACAGTACAAGTGATAAGGAGTTCCACAGACTGGAGAGAAGCGATCCTTTATATAACTTTTTGCAGTTCATCCACTGGCAAACTACCATTCCTTTTACAGGACTGCCAGGATTTCCATCTTTAACCCGTGGGAAGATGGTTGCTGCTACCTGTTAATTGCATTTGTGTTGTGCTCTAGATCATGATTTCTTTTTCTTGTATAGAAATGTTCTCCAGTTTCATCTTAATTTAAAATCCCACTGCTGCAATAGGCATCTGGTGTGATCAAACCACAAATGTAAAAAGTGGAGAAAAAAGTAAGATGGTTAGATGTCTTCTTTCTTAAGGGTTGCTCTGGAAAACCATGTACAGTATTAGAGCATAGTGAAACCGAATAACGCAGGCAGGAGTTTGCAAAGCTAATGTAATTTGTGCACCAGAAGAGCATGAAAACCTGGCCAGATCATGAATTTACTGTGCCAATTCATGAAGATGAGTTTTGTCTGTCGAATGGTAACATTTACCCAATCTGAAATTCTTTCCAGTAGTGAAGTTATTGATGCATCTTAGGATCATCAGACCCATCACTGTCGCTTACAATACACTGCCACAGAAAGGAAAACTATATGAAGTTCTGTTTTGAAAGAGCTCTAAATGTTTGCCTTTCCCTTCCAGAGCAAGAGTTCTCAAAGAACATGGTGAAAGCAGCAGAGACCGCCAGGTCCATTGTCACTCAACAGGTCAGGGGTCAAAGTGATTTAATTGCTCAATGCATGGATTGATCTGTTCAATTACCTCTTTGTAGCATAAGTGTCTCGCCAGGACTGCAGTCAGGAAGCATAGTCTTGGTGGAAGCTTGTCAGTGTGTCTGTGAAGGGTGATATTTAGAAATCTGAGAATTTAATTTCAAATCACTTTTCGATGCCCTGCCCAAGCTAGTCTTCATTCTAGACGATCTTGCTGCTTCACTGGAACCTTCACAAAAGTCTTCATTTTTGCAAAAGTTGGAGACACTTCCAATGTTTTAATAGCTGGGAACAAGTGAAAATGAATCGCATTTGTTCCCACGTCAAGCTTCAAGCACCTGACTAAGAGCTTTGCTGAGACCCAAACACCTGCTGTAGGGGTCTCAAGGATTAGATTTAGAAACGCCTGGCCTAAGGATTAGAATGCTCTCCTTCTAGAAATAAGACAAGGAAAGCCCTCTCTCCAACTTCATCATTTATCAAAATCCCATGTGTTCAAAGTTAGTTTTTAATTAAAAGATTTGGTACCTTATTTGTGAAAGGCTCTGTGATAGATGTGTGAGGGGTATGATGTCATATAATTGGTTCTTTTCTCTATAGGATCTGATGCCCCTGCAGTACATCTACACCATGGCCGTAGAACATGACATCAACTGTTGGGGCTTGATGAAAAATGTCACAGAAACTATACAGCATCGTTGCTGCCAGGTATGGACACATGACCGTGGCTTTAAAGCTGAAGGACTCGCACAGAGGAGCTGCAACATGGAGCAGTGGTTAGGTCTCTGGACTCTAGACCAGAAGGTTGTGGGTTCAAATTCTGGGTGAGGTCTTGTAGGAAGTTATTACCCTTAAATTTCTCAATTGTTATTGCTCTAATAATTTCAATTGGCTTTCCTTGTAAAATAAATGAAAGGAGACAAGCCTAATGTTATTAAATAGAGCAAGTGTATATGCAGCCATGAAACTCTTAATGATGGGTTTAATTGGTCTAATTTGAAACTTACAAGTGTTTAAGGTGCTGCTGCTATAAAGAGACCTAAAACACCTGAAAAAAACCAAACCTAAATTTAGTATAGTTTACACAACCCAATATGATAGACGCGTACTCAGCCCACAGTGGTTTAAATCTTCCTGGGAGTTTTCCAGGTGATGGAAGACTTTCCACATGTACTTGCCTCTTTGGCTTTGATTAGGTACTGATTAATTATTGATGGTCTTACCTTTTCCAGGCTCTGGCTTCTAAGAGGAATGAGATTGACAAGTGGCGCCGAGAGTTCAAGGATCAGTGGATTCGGGAGCAGAGGAGAATGGTGGGGCCCTTAAACAGTCTCTCCCCACCCCCATTCCCATCACCACCAGCGCATTTTCATGCCTATCTGTCTGACTTCCTCAATTATCTGTCAGTTTCTGCAGTTTCATGCTTATCTGCCTAACGTGTTTCATATTTGTCACTCTTAGCTGTCCGCATGGCATATCTGAGCTTCTAGGGGAAAATCATGTAGAAGTAGTGTTGGAGGACCAGTAGGTGACGCTCTTTCTTCTACACCATACATTCCAAATCAAGGGGAACTGCTCTGTCGGGTGTTGTCCTCCACATGAGAATATAAACTAAGGTCCTTCTGTATGTATGGTCTTTAAAGATTCTGTGACATTACTCACAAGGGTATGGATTTTAGCCCTAGAATCCTGGCTAAATTTCACAGGATTTATTAGTAATGTGTGAATGGGATGACCATTTTATGCACATTTTTGGCCCTTGTAAGCATCTCGGATTGATTTTTGAGAGCCAACAGTTAGACACTGAAGAGCGTGGAGTTGATTACCTGGGGTGGAACACACTACTGGCTGTTCTGTACTAGCCTGACGCACTAAGCAGCATGAAGGAACAGAACACTGAACAAGAGAATTGGATCATAGAAACAGCTCGTCCCTGAGTAGTAGGTGGATTGTAACATACTTTTTGATGAGCATTCAAGTAGAAAAATACAAATGGTTACATGCTCAACTTAAAAGCACAAGGTCACACCAATCCTGGGAAACAAGGGTAATGGGGTACAATGCTGTGGTTACAAAAAGCAGACATGGGTTGGAGCATCGGCACTGTGGCTAAGGTTCTGCACCTGTGGCTGGAAGGTTGCTGGTTCAACTCCCGCGGCCGGCAGAGGACTCCTACTCTGTTGGGCCCCTGAGCAAGGCCCTTAACCCCAGCTGCTCCAGGGGCGCCGTATAAATGGCTGACCCTGTGCTCTGACCCCAGGCTTCTCTCTCCCCATCTGTGTGCCTGTGTGTCTCACGGAGAGCAAGCTGGGGTATGCGAAAAGACAAATTCCTAATGCAAGAAATTGTATAAATTTCTTGTCGATAAAGTGATCTTATCTTATATTGCCTTACATCATGTCACTTCCAAGTGAATTGCGTGCAGCCCATCTCTAACATCCTGGTTTTGCCTCCCCCCTGCAGAGCGAGGCGATTGCGGCTCTGAAGAAATCCCGTCAGCAGTACATCCAGCGCTGTGAGGAGCTGGAAAAAGCGCGGGCTCTGAGCGCGCGAGCAGAGGAGGAGAACAGCAACACCACCAGTGCTGGCGCCAGCGGCAGTAAGATTGTTGAGAAGCGGAGGCGATCCCGAGACGAGGCACAGATCAAGGTCAGAGTTCGCTGTGCGCATAGGTCAGACCTCCCCCGGAAATGCTTGATGTACAAACTGGGTTCCTGTATTTCATTGCACAGCTGGAGAATTGAATCCAGCTTTTATTGACCAGTTAAAGATGGAACATTCATCTGATGAGGTGTACTGTGTATGGGAGGCAAATTTCAGTGATATTGAATGAGCATCTGAAAACTATTGTTGGCCCAATTACACTAGGAATGTAGGATAGAAAAAATGACAGTACATTTTTAAACCTTTTTTTACAAAAAAAAATATTTAAATGAAGTTTAAGAAGTAAAACAAATATTTTTCCTTTTACTTTTGAAGAGTATATGAACATCCAAAAATGAGACTTCTTTAAATTTCTTATAACCAAAAGCCATCCATGGTCAATTGCTAAAATAAACTTGAATTTCTTGCCAAATCATTTAAAATGGATTTTCTCAAATGGATATTCAAAAAATCCTCATATTATTTGGCAAAACTTGATTCAATCAATGTTGCTTTGTAAGTGGAATTGCATAACCACTTATGCAATTCAAGGTCACGCCAGAGCCTATCCAAGAAAGCACTGGGCACAAGGATACTCCCTGGACATGATGCCGGTCTATCATAAAGGACACACAGACACACACTTGCACACCATTTTCTGGGAAAATGTAAGGGCCAATTTTCCCAGAAGTCAGTCAGCTTAACCAGTAAATCTTTGAACTGTGGGAGGAAACTGGAGCAGTCTTTCTGACAAAAACACAAACTCGATGAAAACATGCAAACTCCACACAGATAGCACATCAGGGATTGAACCCAGGGCCCCAGCGCTGAGATGCAATGCTGACCCCTGCACCACCATGCCACCCCCTCTCACAGGATGATGTCTTCTCACATTAGGTGCAGGAGGCTGAGATTATGTACAGAAGCTGTGTGAATGATGCCACCCAGCGCCAGCTGGAACTGGATAAGACCAAGGAGAGGATCATTGTGCATACCCGCAAGCTCATCTGCCAGGGGGACTTTGTGCTGAAAGAGGTGAGTGTCTGGACATGAACGCTGACCGCCTACTGGGAAGCTGTCCAGTCCCGCTGTTGAAGCTAGTACCCTTTTAGTGAAGTACAGTGGCTCCAGCAAAGGAATAGTCAAATTTGGTAATTCCAAGCCAGACTGTGAACCTTCTAATTAAAGAATGACTGAATTTATCCTAAATTGCTTAACTGACTTGGCTACTGAAGACCACTTTGATCATTAAGCATGAGCTGGCGCAATGACCTTGCTGTGGGCTGGAATGGAGGTGCCAAACTTGATGACCGCACTACCACTCTTTTTCCAGCCCATACAGGTGCACAGCAATGCTCAATACATTACACTACTGTACCATTCATTCATGCAACAGCTAGATGGGATCCTGGGGTTAATTACTACAAATACTACTACTACTACAAACAAAATGGGCCAGATGGACCAAATTCCACTTCTCACTGGTAAATGTTATTATGAGAAATACACAGCCTTCACATTGTGGATTATACTGTGCTGTTCTCAAGCTTTGTTGGTCCATCCTCATACCCTTGACCATTATATAAAGTTGCTTGTCCTCTGTCAGGGCTCTGTAGCCCTGGACCTGGAGAGTGTTTGAGTTTTATTCAACCTGAGCTCTGCATGGCATAAGGGGATCAATCTGTTGCTTAATTTGGAGAAGTTGAGCAGGAGTCTGCAAAGCTTATCGACAATGTAAGACTTACACCTGCAGGACTGTGGTGTTGATTCAGGTTCAGTGAACAACAGCAGTGTTTTATACAGCTATGTTTTGTGTACAGTGCACTTCCAATCATGCAAGTCATAGTCGACAGCAGTGGTGTTCTTGCTGAGCTGATCTAGTGCCCTCTGGTGTGAACTGCCAGTACTCCCCATGGATGTATTTGTACAGTATGTTACATTTCATAATTCCTTTCACTTATATAGCGCTTTTCTGGACACTCCACTCCAAGAGCTTTACAGGTAATGGGGACTCTCCTCTACCATCACCAGTGTGCAGCCATAGTGTGCCAGTATGCTCACCACACACCATCTACCAATGGGGAGGAGAACAGAGTGATGAAGCCAATTCAGAGGGGATTATTAGGAGGCCATGATTAGTAAAGGCCAATGGGAAATTTGTCCAGGACACTGGGGTAACACCCCTACTCTTTTGGAAATCACCCTGGGATTTTTAATGACCGCTGAGTGACCACAGAGTGGTCATTAACCTTGGTTTTACATCTCTTCCAAAGGACGGCACCTTTTTTTTTTTACAGTCTAGTTTCCCCATCGCTATCCTGGGGCATAAGAAACCATACAGACTGCAGGGTGAGTGTCCCCTGCTGGCCCCTCTAATCTCTTCCAGCAGCAACCTTAGATTTTTCCCAGGAGTTCTCCTATCCAGGTACTGACCAGGCTCACACCTGCTTAGGCTCACACCTGCTTAGCTTCAGCGGGCTGTCAGTTGTGAGTTGCAGGGTGATTTGGCTGCTTGGTCTCTAGTGCACAGTTCTCACAATACAGTTTTTCAAGCTGGAAGAGTAACCTTGCAAGCGCCCTATTGGGTTCTTGGCACTAGATCAAAATCAGTTACTACATCTAGTTTCTCATATTTAGCTCATACTCTCGAGAGTTAATTCCTTTGCCTGTGTTGCACCCATTCACTTTCTTATAGGAGCCAAAGGGATGTAACGTGATGTAGGTTTTTAATGCTTTCAGACTTCCAGGCTTCAGTTGATGTTAAATGTAAATAGATCAAGGGGTTTAGTTTCAAGCAGCAGATTTTCTTTCAGTGCTTAACTTCAGCATAGGATTTGACGCATTAAACACAACGGGTCTTATATGCACTCAACCATGAAGATCTCCCCCCAGTCTAGCCTCAGTGGAACCCATCTATTATAGATTGCTCAGACAATGTCTTTGTTCCTCCCTCCCTTCATCTCTCTGAATCCAGAACACCATCAACATGTTCTACTATCAGAGGCAGATGACCGAACCTGTTCCCCTGGGCTACCACAACCTGGATCTGACCTGCCGTCCCTTTGAGCCCGGGGAGTCCTACGTGCGCTACATCTTCAAGAGACGCCGCAGGGAACAGGTTCAGAAGACCTTCGCCTTCCAGGAGTTCAACGAGTCGAGCAAGAGGTGGGATGGAGGAGCACGGCCTTACTCCAGCACTGGCCATCGGCTGATTGTTGGCTCCTTAAGGGCCTTGTCTTGATAAAACAAAGCTGCTGTCATAACGCCTGACTAAAATCACCATCTGTGTTTTCCAGACTATAATTCTCAGAACATATTCCATTTATCCACAGAAATTGAATAACTTAGTATGCAAAGCAGCAGCAGGAAAGGAAACGCTCAAAATGTGTGCAGGTATTGCAGCAAATTGCAGGACATACATGCATTTCTGTGATTCTTAAATTCAATCTCCATCTAGTTTCACAAGGCTTTAATGCAGTGGTTCTTTAGCTGTGGGACCTTGAGGTTGTGAGATGCCCTTTCTGGGGAAGCACGATGTGCCAGATTTGCTTTAGAATGTAATATTTGAAAACACCTCAATGATTACTTGAAATTACCTCAATACTTTTTTTAACATGTTGGATAACCAAAGAGGTGCAGGCTGCAGTCAAGAACTACTGCTTTTAATGCATTCTCTCAGGTCTCCCTCTAGTGGTCGCAAGAAGACCAATTCACCCTATCCAGTTCCTGAAGAGACCTGCGTCAAACGACCCTCCAGTGCCACTGAAAGCGGTAAGCCCTTACATTATTCTGAGTATCTAGAAGTTTGATCTCGTGAACTGTGCAGAACGTGATACAGATAATTGCAAAGATGTTGGTGATATGAGGGTATTTCATTCCATGTATGCTCTTCATTTACCTAAATCATCCCAGAAACCCTGCAGGCACACGTGCCCTACTAGATAAGAATTGCAGACCGCCAGTCTAAGGAGCTGACAATATTTTAGCCTGCTTGACTCTCCAAGATGGGAATTTTGAATACGTGGTAGTTTAACATGGTTTTTAGTTTTGAAATGAATAACTACCTCGAGGCATTGAGATTTAATTGAGCAAATTAGATGTTTTCAGAAAATTGGAATGTTCAGTTATATTCCCCCTGTTTTGTTTATTTTGTATAGGTTAAAAGGTTTTGTTTATAACTGTGTATGCGGGTCACTGATGTACACAAAGAGAAGCTTTACTTTTATGATTCATACAGAATAAAATAGCAGAAGGACATTTAGGACTCTAAAAGAAGAAACTTTCCAGCAAAGCAATTAGCAGAAGTCAAAGCTGGCTGAAACAAAAAACATTGTTTAAAAGCTAAGCATGTAATTAATTTAGCTGTTTACTGAACAGCATACAGCCTACTGTATATATAGTTTTGGGAAGTGAAGTATTGTGGCTATAGCAAAGGGGTAGTCAAACACGGTACTGCCACTCAGGACTGTGAACCTAATTGAAGAATGAGTAAATTTATCCGTAATTGCTTAATTGACTTGGCGACTTTGATCATTAAGCATGAGTTGGCGCAGTAACCTTGCTGTGGGCTGGATTGGAGGTGCCAAGCTTGATGACTGCACCACCACTTTTTCCAGCCCATACAGGTGCACAGAGACGCGCAATACAAGCAACTACCAGCCTGTTGCATGCGGTTCATTCAAACCGAACCAAGTGGGCTCCCGTATTAGTTCGGGGTGTCTGACTGTTGGGGTTTTTACTGGGCTCCTCATTTTCCTCCTGCAAAAAACGTGTAAAATGTCAAATTGCTTTTTATTGTCCCTTTCAGAGGAGCAGGGGCCTGATGTCTCATCAGATGGTCCTAATACAGCCAGTGCTGGTCAAGAATCCTGAAGGGAACTAACCAAATGAACATAAAGGGCCCAATGACCCTCTGTGCATTCGAACCCTTTTTCGTGCCCTTCTGAACCTTTCAGGCTCGTTTGCGTCAGATTGGTTGGCTTGATTTCCTACAACTGCAGAGCTGATTAACCAGTTCCTTTAAGCTTTCACAGTGATAGGACCTGAGGTTCCGATCACATGTTTCTGCACAGGCATGGTTGCGAAGTGTTAAAACAAGAACAGCATTTCAACAAGGGCTGAAGTTGAGATCTGTGGTTTTCGGCTTTCAGTGAGCAGAACGTTCTCTACTTTGGTTTTCTTTCTTGCCTCTCTGAAGGAGACTTGTTTTATGCTTTTCAGCTGCACGTAATTCTGGATGTACAAAGACCGGGATTAGTGACACTGAGAGCACTGGAGGAAGCCTGGAGTCCCCACAGTCAAGCCCAGGTGAGGTTCTAATGTGCAGATACATGGTGCTCTCAAACAGCTGTATCATGTGGATTGTGCACTCCAGAGCTATTATGATACACATCCAGGTGGAACCACACGATACATTACCATGGTTTCCAAGGGTTTAAATTGTACAGAATACTATCAAGAGTGCACAGGGTCCTATTTGTATATGTGCAAATTGTCCATATTGCAGAGCCTTCATTATATTATTTGAATAGACCAGCTAACTTTTAAAGTTCTTGAAGTGGGGGGGGGGGGCACTGTTCTTGGTCTAAACAGCTCTTGGATGGAAAATCCTTAAACTGAGCTTCAGTAGCATGATTAATGAGTTCTGTGTATCATTCAGCTCATCAAATGCTGCAATGTGACCATGATGTTCATCTTCTTGTACTAAATGCTGTTGTGTTGGCCATCCTTTAAGTTAGTCAAACTTAAATTTAAATCTGCATTAGGGCTATTCCTGCAGAAGTACTGCTGAATACAGTGTAAATATATTGTTCCTAAATCTAGAGTTCCTTTTTCAGTCTTCTTACCCCTTTTCAGTCAACATTTTCTATTGTTTTTATTTAAAGTACCAAATTATTCCATTATTTGATCTGTTAAACGTTTTGCATGGGCTGTATTTATCTGTAGCTCTTTTGCTGTTGAAGGTATGAGGTGTTACTGTGTTTTTAACAGCTGTGCTCAACCAGCATGCCATGTCCCATTTCAGCAGCAGCTGGGGAAAATTCAACTTTTGGCAATAGGAACTGATAGAAGATTGAATGTGGCCTTATTCACATCTCCCTCCAAGTAATAAATCTCTTTAACAGCTCACCCAAACCGGAAACTTCTAAAAGCGCCTTCTACTGGTACAGTGTCCTCCGAGGACCTGGAGGATAAGGAGGCGGGACAACTCTATGAAGGCAAGTGTTACTCCTGCACAAATGCATACAGTTTGCTATGTTGCTCGTATTTTAAAGTAGAAGCTTCAGCCAAATAGATTGGTGAGTCAGTAACAAATAACCCGGAGATCAGTTTTTTGCAATTTCCCTCACAGGATCAATAAAGTATACTTCTAATTCTGTCCATTATCCACGAAGATAAACCCTTTACATAAGATTACATGCAGCAGGTTGGCGCAGTAGTTTACATTGCTGCCTCACAGTGCTGGGGCCCCGAGATCAATTCCAGACCTGGGGGGTGCTATCTGCACGGAGTCTGTATGTTCTCCCCATGTTAAATAGGGTTTCCTCCCACAATCCAAAGATATACTGGTATGTTAATTGGCTCTGGGTGATTGTATGTGTTCTTTGTGTCTGTCTGCCCTGTGACGGACTGGCATCCCATCCAGGGTGTATCTGCAATTCCAAGACAAGGGTTTCTCGCATAACATCATCACAGAGCACTTTGCCTTATCAATCCCTTTGAATAGGAGTTTAAAGACCACATAAATCCCTAATCCCCAAATCTGTCTGACTAATTTAAATCCTTCAGTCTATCGGTTAACGGCACATGTGGTACTCACTAGCTTATGACTGAGATGTGCCAAAAGTAATTCTTTTAACGGAAGAGCAATAATAAGTATTGCAATAATGACACCTACAACTTTATGAAAATTATGATTAACAATGAGTGTGTGTTCTGTGATGGACTGGAGTCCTGTCCAGGGTGTACCCTGACAGGACAGGATCTGGCTCCCCCACGACCCTGAATTGAAAGAAGCAGTTAGAAATTGGGTGGATAAAAGAAGGCACTAGAATTCCCGGTATAAGAGGAAGGTGATGACGGGCGCGTCCGTCTCGTTCTCTCAGATGCCAGCGAGTCATCGTCCGAGAACACGGGGACACTGGGGAGCATCTGCAAGATCCGCACTCAGTCCCGAGCCGCACAGACTCACCGGCTTCGCAAGATGAAGGGAAAGATGGCGAAGTGCCGGCAGTGCGACAACTTCATCCTGGTCAACGGGATTGAGTGTGAGGAGGTAAATGGAAAACCAGAACTGGCAGCACCAAAGATGAGCGAGCCAGCTCTTCGCTGACAGTGACGTCTTTATACGCAAGATCTTTGAGCAGCCCAGATAAAATAATAAAAATCCCAAAGGAGGCTGTGGCTTTTCAGGCGCAATATATAAGACTTGAATTTTTGAGAGCAACCGTTGGTCAGATTTCCTTTTTTAAAACCGGCTTTGTACATTTTTGCCTTTGTGTTTTTGTTTTGGTTAAATAAAATGTTGGAAATTGCATATGGAGTACAGCTCATTCGTCTCATCTGATCTTTCCAGATGCGTTGATGTTAATACCACTTTCTTTTAAGGAGCATGCAATTTAAGCTTTTTCTTGGTATCCCGAGAGATTTTTGATATAACACCTTTTTTCTTGGTCATGCACTCTAGCACAATTGGCTTTCCAGAATGACTCGAGCATTCGGGAAAGTATTGCTGTAAAACACTGACATTTTCCGATGTGTTTTGGGGATCTGACATGTTACATCACGAAGCTCGTTAGTGTTAAACACGGTGGCAGGGCAATGCTTGATAAGAATGAGAGTGAGCTTCATGATAACTATCTTGTTGTCCTGCAGTGCAGTCTGGTCCTCCACAGGAAGTGCCTGGACTCGTGCCAGCAGGAGTGTGACCAGAGGCGGGGTTTTGTGTTTGGTTTGGACTTCTCCCTGGTACCCAGGGACTTCCCAGAGGAGGTGCCCTTTGTGGTGCGTCGCTGCACAACTGAGATTGAGAGCCGGGCACTGGCCGTACAGGTAGGCATAACGGGTCTCTGCAGATGAATGGCCTCCTTTTTGCCAATAATAATTACTTGCACTAACAGCACTTTTCTGGACACTCTACTTAGAGCGTTTTACAGGTAATGGGGACTCCCCTCCACCCCCACCAGCAATGTGTAGGCACACCTGGATGGTGTGACAGCAGCCATAGTGCACTAGTATGGTCACCACACATAAGCTATCAGTGGGGAGCAGAACAGAGTGATGAAGCCAGTTCACAGATGGGGATTATTAGGAGGTCATGACTGGTAAAGGCCAGGGGGATATCTGGCCAGGATGCCAGGGTAACACCCCTACTATTTTTTAGAAACACCCTGGGATTTTTAATCACCTTAGAGAGTCTGAACCACCTTTTTACAGCAAAGTGTCCCTGTCAATCTACTGGGGCATTAAGACTCACACAGACCGAGGGGTGAGCGCCCCCTACTGGCTCCTCTGATACTTCCAGCTACAACCGTAGCTTTCCCAGGAGGTCTCCCATCCAGGTACTGACCAGGCTCATACCTGCAGAGCTTCAGTGGGTTGCCAGTTTTGAGTTGCAGGTTTTATATGGCTGCTGGCACAATACAATACAATATGATCAGATGACACCGCTGTCGGATGTTTAACTGACACGGGCGTTTTCATCTCTTTCAGGGCGTCTATCGCGTCAGTGGCTCCAAGCCACGCATTCAGAAACTGTGCCAGGCCTTCGAGATACAGCGGGATCAGGTGGACCTGTCGGAGCACTCGCCCCATGACATCACTTCTGTGCTCAAGCACTTCTTCAAAGAGGTGGGGGCTGCTTATTTCGGTAACTCCAGTTCAGGTTTGACTGACTTATTAGTTGCATGGCAGTACCAAGGTTACCTTCCCCTGCTACATGAGATACTGGTGGCAAATGGTCTGTTGAATGAGTTGTTTAAGATGGGTAGGTTTTTTTTACATTTAATTGAACATTTCCATCCCATTTTTAGATTACCGTTCTAATTATTGAAATTGTGGCTTTGACAGCTTGCTCCAGTTAAAATTACACATGTAAGTGCCGGAGTGTCTGAAACAGTGAAGGCGCTCATTCAAAGCGCAGAATGAGCTTTACAATCCAGACATGGCTAGTCTGATCCAGGTTGAGTTATATTGGGATTCCTGTAGTGGTGCTGTGCAACTCATGTCAGCAGGGTTGGCCTGGGATTAGTCATCCAAGCCTCTCTTGGCCTTCTGATAGACGAAACTGGTGACCTAAAGGTTTGCAGTGACATCAGTGAGAGATGCGCCATTCTCCCATTCAGCCCTGACTCTCCTGTTGAGCACTGTGGAGCTTGCATCACCTGCCAGTAGTTGCAGGTGGACATTTAAAAAAAGGCACGACTGTACAGTAGGTCTTGTTCTCCCCAGAGGGGAATGGGAATTGCTGGAGCGCTTGAGTTTCAAAAAGTAAAAGAAGTGTTTCTCTATGGAGATGTATATGTATCGTTACAGATTGTAAATTTCTTCTATTGGCAAAACTGGTCAAAATGTGTCCTGCTTCCAAAATGCAGTGCGTTCTTTACAGGATGCATCAGAATGGTTGTGGACGTACCATAACGGACGAATACATGGAATTGATTTTGGTTTTTGATTTGTGGTGGTTTAGCTGCCTGAGCCTTTGGTTATCTTTGACCTCTACGATGACTTCATAACTTTGGGAAAGAACATCCAGCGGATGAGCGAGAAAGAGACGACCGCAGAGACTGTTTCAATGGAGGGGGACCTGGTGCAGTGTTTGAAGGACCTTCTGAGCAAACTGCCAGTGTCACATTACAACACCCTGCACCACCTCATCACCCACCTCTTCAGGTACCACCCAGGCCTTGCTCTGCTGCTGCTATGGTGGATTAGCAATGACTACTGGATGTTTTCAAAACTTTGCAAATTTAAGACTTGCATCCTTTTAATTTGTGATAATGGTGTTATTTCTTAAGTTCATCTAACAAAATGCAAGAATTAAAATGTCAGCTCCAGTATGAGCTGACCCTATGATTCCTAGATGTCAGTGCTAGAAGGAGCTTATGTACTGTACATAGAGAACTGTATTCGTACAGGAAATTCAAATGTTAAACTTTCCCTTTATAGACTTAAGGGCAGGAGGAGGGCAGAGAACTCCTAAATCTAAGAAAAAAAATGTGGTCTACCGCTGATGGATTCGTCTCTCTCCCCCCAGGGTTTCAGAGCAGTTTGAGGTCAACAAGATGTCCCCAGAAAACCTGGGCATCATTTTTGGGCCTACCCTCATGCGCCCCCTTGTGGCAGGGGATGTGTCCATGATCAATCTCTTGGAGACCAGCTACCAGGCCGTATTAGTGGAGTTCTTCATTACCCACTATGAGCACATCTTTGGGACGGAGAACTTGCCACGCTCTTCGCCTGTCTTATCAACGGAGCCAGGAAGTCCCAGGACACAGCAGCCACCTGAACAGGCTTCTCCAGTCAGCCAGGAGCGCCCAAGGTCTTTAGAGGTATTATGGAACGCTGGACAAGCACGAGCCAGAACCTAGGAAATCGAAAGACTTAAATCTAAGACATGCAAAGCTAATCCAAAATGATGGCAGACAAAGTATGAGCATAGCAGATAGTGACCGAGATTACCCAATGGCAGGGCACCAAGTACCGCTGGGTGTAGGATTGGTCAGTCTTTCCAGACAACATCAGGTCCGATCTAGACCATATCATTAGTCATTTAAGAAATATGCAACACGGTAAAATTCATTTGAGCAGCACGGTAGCGCAGAGGTTAGCATTGCTGCCTAACAGTGCTGGGGCTCTATGTTCAGTTTTGGATCTGGGGTGCCATCTGCTTAGAGTTTGCTTTCTCCATGTTTGCTTGGGTTTCCTCCAGGTCTTCTGGTTCCCACAACACAGTTCAAAGACTTACTGCTACTGTAGGTTAATGGGCTTCTGGGAAAAGTGGCCCCAGTGTGAGTGTGTGCCCTCTGAAGGTCTGGCATCCTATCCGGGTGTATCCTGCTTTATGGGTTAGGCTCTGGCTGCCCTGCCCTGTGACCTTGAATTGGAAGAAGCATTCAGAAAATGGATGAATGGATAGAATCCCATTGGCCCAATGCAATTGAGTGGGCCTGATGTGATCCATGGAGCTCATACCTTACCACACAACAGTGGCTGTGAAATTTCTGTGATAGATTGTTTCAACTTTTATTTTGAACTTTTAAATTTTATTATGTGGCATTTTCCACACTTGGCATGGCTAAAGGTTTTGTCTTTGATGTTAGGTCTTCCCAAGAGCATATCTGTCAAGCAGGTTTTAGGAGGGTAGATGCATTCTCTTTATATCTGGCAGAAGGCAATATCCAGACTGGTTCAATGACTGCTGCCAGAAAAAAAAAGTTTTCTTTCTTTCACCACTGTACAATACCTCAATGGTACATTGTGATTTATAACCTCTTGACCCATGTCTGTTGTTGAACATTCAGTATTAAATTGTGTGTGAAAATATAGTTGGGAGAGATCCATAGAAAAGACAAGGCTATGAAGCCACCCCTTTGTGACCGAATCAGTTTGGAGTTTTGTTAATGAACACACAAGGCAGTTCCACCGCCATTCTGCAGTTACAATTTATTTTCTTGCCAGAATAACAGTGCACAAGGCCTAACCTTAAACTAGGACTAATGCATTTGTGGCTTTCAGATTAACATGCCGAGTCTTGCTTTTTGTGCTGAAGTGTGCAGTCAATGCTCTGTGCTTGAGTCCTAATGTGTCCTTTGATTTTATTTTCAGCTTTTCTTAAAAAGCTACATTTTGCTCTGGCTTTTCTCATTAACAAAGTTTGATAATGTGGGCAAAGTTAAATACATAAGGAAGAGGACAATGTTAGACACTCTTAAGAACGTGGCTTGATTAAACTACACTGCCTTGAGTTCTTGAGCAGCTAACCATTGAATTGATTGAATCCAGTTTAGTGTTAATTTGTCCTGAAATATTGCTTTCTACCATACAAAACCTGTTTGATTGATATTACTTGTTTATTTTGCTTGACTAGCTCTTTACTGTGTATAGTTGTTGCACTTTAATGTGTTGGACGTTTGGATATGCTGGTGGACATGTGGTTTTTACTGATTAAATATTAAAGTTCTTAAAGGGGAACTGCAGTCCCAATTTCTCAGTTATTAAATTGCAGTAAAAAAGAAAAATCATTTTTGTTATAGAAACATTTTATTAATTTTGAATTAAGCACAAAATCAATAACTTTGTACAGCTAAGTTTTCATGTCACAAACTCACATTTGAGTTCCCACAAACTGCAACATGATGCGGCCCTTCCTGCTCACTAGTCACTGTAATGATTAATGTAATGTGATGTACAGGTTGTGCAGCAGGCATTTCAGAAATGTTCCAATGTTAACTCTGCATGCAGTTCACAAGTAAATTGTTTTTATGCCAAGTATTTGTTGGCAAACCCTTATAGAAATCAAGAGAAGTATTTCTACTTGAATTAAAAGATGTATTTACAAGCCTGCTTGTTTACAGTGTAATTGGGCTGCTTCACCTAAACAGACGTTCTGTTGCCTTATTCTAAATTGCAGAATATGGCTCTGCACATGCCTGGAAATTTAGTCTATTTTGTGATGTAAATTGGAGGTTTAACATGTTACTGTGTACATTTCACTTTAATTTTGGTTTGAAATGAACTCATCAATGCCGATTCTTTCTAACCCTGAAATATAAAAACAGCATTGCAGTTCCCCTTTAAGGGTTTTTACATGAGCTACATTTTACGCTAATTGGATGCAGTCTGTTGCGATCCTTGTGGTCTTATTGTTGGTTAGCTGGGAGACTCAAGTCACCTTCGTGCACCTGTGATAGAGGCAGAGAATGTGAGACGGTAAGGTAAGAGGAGAATGTAAGCTCATTCTAGGAATGAACTTTAATGAACTGCTTGCAGCGCTCAATGCTTTGAGCATGTGAACATTTAACAGCTAAATAGACTCATACCCCAGTTGTCTTCCAGCATGTTGTGGAGTGCATAGAGTCAAGGCAAGGCTTTGGACTAACTGCTTTGGGGGTTTTGACCCGTTTGGACTCCCATAATAGGCACAGCTGCTTCCAGAGTGGTTGTAAAATGCTGTTCACCCACTATAGAACTTGCATGTGTCAATTGCTTGCATACTAAGAGCTCTGAGTTACAAGATTAACCTGTCTAGGGAATGGCCCTGTGTGTACTCGGAGCCAATGAGCAACTGGAAGCAAATCTCTGCAGACCAGGGAGGCAGCTATGCTATCACTACCACCCTTCCCTAACATTTTAAATTTTTTTTATACAAGATATCCAGGAGCTCTCTCACTGACACAGGCCACAAGGACCACAAAATAGAAGGGATCATTGTCAGTTGATGCTTGCAGGAGTAATAATTCTATGTCAAGCATCGGCCAGACTGTACCGCACACATAAGGGACAAAGGCAGTGGTCGGTGACATTCTGAGAGAGTCAGGGAGAGAAATCAACCTAGAGTTGGCTCTTTACTGTTGCATAGCGTACGTGACACTGGCACCCCTCTGTGCCTCTCTCTTGGTCTCTAACAGAACCTTGCAATGAAGAGAGACTCGAGCGAGGGCTATATATCGGACAAGTCTTCGTCCAATGAGGCGGTGGATCAGCTCAGCCCAGAGGCCAATGACAGAGCAGGTAGGCGGGCCAGTGAGGGAGAAGGGACAGTGTATCTGCCAGTGAGAGCTTACTGAACAGGCATGCAGCGACTGCTTTCGTTTGCCATTAGATGTGAACATGGGGCCACTTAAAGGCAGTTGCTGCCCCAAACTGAACACCTGCTCATAAATTACTGGCACCGAGTTGAGTCTATATGCCAATGCCGAACAATTCCATCTGAAGTTCCGAGTTAATGGAGTATCCCCTTGCTAATGAGTGTTGTCTGTTTAGGGTTCCAGATCGAGCTGGTTTTAAAAAAGTAGTTTTCGTAGGAAATTACTTGTCTTTTACACACAGTTTCAGGACCTCTAATGCATCTCTTACAGTTGTTAAAGGCCAAGAGCCCTTTGCTGCACCTGCTTTTTTTGGATTTGATCAATTTGCAATGCCTGCTGTTTCTGCCACATGCCAGTTTCAACTGTGCTCGGCTATGTGGTTCATTATTTGTACACTATGCTTGTATATACGTTGGCGCTACGTTGCGTTATGAGCACAACCATCTAGGAATTGAGCTGAGCTAGACGCCACTGATGTTAAGATGTTGAAAGCGGAGGACATAGTGAACGTGTTCTCTACAGCTCCTTTTCTCTTTCTGGCATGTGTGTTTGTTTTGTCTTGCTCCTTGGCATGTGTCCGTACATCTCTGTTGTGTCTCTGAGTTGATCTCCTCATCTGTTCTTCTCCTTAATTCTCCAGGTCCTTTCTTCTCACTCCTTCTCCGTCCTTCTTTTCTCTCTCTCTCCCGCAGCTGTGGACTCACCTGTAAGCGAGGCCGGCGTTCCAGAGGAACAGGCCGAGGAATCGGAGATGGTCACAGGAGCTCAGTCAAGAGGTCACTTCAGTCGGCTGCCCATCAAACATTCTCGGCAGGCCACTCCCATCACAAAGACCCGGACTGGAGCCCTACGGGACGGGGGGAACCCAGAGGGTGAGGGGTGTTCCCCTCCTCGGCGAACCGGGCCCGGCAGCGCCAACAGCAGCCGCAGCTCTTCACCGGAGGCCGGCGCGCTGCGGCAAACCCGGCGCAGGCTAGAGATCACCCCTGAAACCGCCCGGCTGCTCCTGAAAGCTGGACACCACCCAGAGGAGGAACTCCTCCCCGTCTGCTCGGGCCTGCGTGACCCGCCCGTCCCGGAGCGCACCCCGGAGGCGGATTCAGGTACCGGCTCCACCAGGCAGCTCTCCCAGGCCGGCTCGGGCCTCGGACCCAAGGCCAGGCCTGCTGAAGGCCCCGCGGGCAGCCTGGCCAACCTCAACACCAACCAGTCCAATAACAACACTGGCAGCAGGGCCAGGCCTGCCAGCAGGGACAAGTTATCTTTTAAGAGACATCCGGGGGAAGAGCACACAGCCCAGAAGGTTCTCTCTGGACTGAAGCTGCGTCGGAGCGACTCAGAAAAGGGCAGCCAGGTCCGCTTTGTGTGATCTGGTGGTACTTAACCTCCTCCCCCACACCCTGGACTCAGTTCAAATTATGTGAAGGGTCGTCCTAGACAGACAGGTCTCATGCAGACCAGGCACTAGAGGCGGGCAACGTGTGTTGTGATGAGAACACTTGAAAAACGTGGCCACCTCATTCCACCCCACCGAAGATAAACTGGAACACCTCCATTTCCTTCCGTTCCTAGCTGGAAGAAACCAATTATTTGCTCCCTTTTCCTAAGGCGGGAATGAACTCCACGTTTTCAAGCGCTGGCGATCTCTGGCTTCTTATAAGCCAGTAAGCGGCGGGGAGGGAGACTGGTCACCTGGCCCGACCCGGAGAGCTGCAAGTCCTGTGTCCTTCGGCGATTTGAAACTGACGCGGCCGATTGGTGTTGGCAAGGAATCCGTTTCCTTTCCCTGAAGGAACAAGTGTTGCTTCTGAGAGCTGAGGGCCAGCCGTCTGTTCTGGGCCGTCACTGCCGTTTTTGTTCAAGGAGGTGCTGGGACACATGCTTGTGGTCACATTTGGGATATGCTGCACTGTGTTTTGTGTGTATATATATATTTTAAAAAGGTTTTTTAAAAGCAACTGCAAGGTTATGTGCTGTTAAAGGTTAAAGGAAAAAGCACTTATTCCCTCTTATGATGCGAAATATTAAACTAGATTTTTCCAATACACATCTTGGGTATATGGATTGTTTCATGAGTTGTCTTTGGTTTTTTTTTTTAGTTACAGCTTTAATCATTCTAATGCTGAACAACCTGTGTGTCTATATATTTTTAACACAATCCTTTGTTTGTTGTTGCTCTTTAGATTGCAATTGTGGTGAGCTCTATTTATCGTGTCTTTTATTTACTTCAGGATGAACAGCGACACATAAACCAGAGACTACAGGACATTTAAAACTGGACACAGGAAGCACATATTTACCACCAAGAATGGGAGTGTGGGAAGAGCCTGTTACTTTTTACTTGCACAGTCCTAAAAATGTAAAATGAGCTAAAAACCACCCGATATCAAAACGGCATATAAAGGGAAGGCAAATATTTTTACACACACGGTTGTGGCGGCGCGCACCGAGACTTGGTACCTCCCAGCGTGCCGAGCTCCTGATATGACTTCAGTTCAACTCCCTGCTCCTCTTCAAAAACAACCCATTACAGAAAGGACCGAAATACCTTGGGGGTTGATAAATTCCAGAAAGTATATGTCCCAAGGTGTTGTAACAGGACATTATGCAACAATAGTTACAAATGATAGATCATTCAGACAATTTAGCCTGTTTGGTAGTTAGTAGCTTAATGATCTGAGGATCTAATCCAGCTGTGGGTATTGGTTTCTACAACGTGGCTGGGAAGCTTGTGCCACACTCCCACAGCCTTTTCTGTAAAAAAGTGCATCCTAGCCTGACTGTAGTTTCTTGAAAAGTGAAGTTGACATGCTTACATTTTGTGTTAACTCAAAAAACATTTGATTCAAAGCTGGGTTCTGAAAAACTGTACAGCACAGAACAGTGTTTAATAACATGGTCTGGTTTGTAGATTTCAGTGGGCAATTCCATCTCCAAATATTTTGAAAAGAGTCATTTTCAGCTGGTATACACCTGCAGTCGTATCTGTTGGATAGGGGAATGTGTGTTTTGTTATTTACATACAGTACTGTATGTTGGAACAATTTGTGATTTAAACAAAATTGCACCGTTTTTTAAAGGCAATCTGAAATAGGGCCCATTTATATATCGCGTCGTTACTGCAGATAACCGCTAGATGGCAGTGGCTTCGGCACCTACTGAAAAGAAATCCCTCAAGAATGAAAGAGCGCAAGAGTGGTACGGCCTTGCCGAAACCCTGTATGGGCCACTTTGAATTTAAAATTAGTATTCAAGTATTAAGTTTCATTTCCCGGTAGTTCCTGAAAACCTTTTGATAAAGTTATTTTGAGTTTAATTCCTGTCAATCTTTTACTACGTAACAAAAAAGAACCATTTATGGACATTTAGACAATTATGCTTGAAGTGAAACAATTAGCACTTACTGGTACACCAAAGAATTTATACCTCTGCGTGAAAAGATGCTTCTGGCACTAGACGTGACGAAACAGTATTAGGGATGCTATTCAAGTTCCAAGTGCAGCTTAACGAGAATACCTTTTCATTTCCCTTTCAAATGAAAGAGAAATCTCAAGCATGCGGGCGGCTCTTGCATTTTATATCTTTAAAAGGTAAAAGGGCTCTTAAACTGAAGTATCGGCAGTGCTCAGAACTATTGCGGCGCAATGACGTCAGAGAGCAAGTCAAGTCCACAAAAACAAAGGCCCAAGCCGCTAGGGTTCTTAATTCATTTTTAATTTTAACGTCTCCAGATGTGCTCCTGTTCATTTAGCCTTCTTGTGTTCCTGCTTGCCTTCTCATGTTCCAAAATCAGACATGGCAGCAATAAACTGGAAACCTGCTACCTTGTATTCCGAGATTAAGTGCAATAAGCATCTCCTTCAGATATTTCTCATTAGAGAAGCTTTAGAGTCTAGTCTCTCTCTCTCTCTCTCTCTCTCTCTCTCTCTCTCTCTCTCAGTAAATCAGAGCTCTCAAATTCAGGTGCTGGAGGGCCTTGTCTCTTTCTGGTTTTATGTTCCAGCACAAAATCTTAAACAAACTACTGTGTGTGGAAGTGAATGTAAAACCTTTGACCAGTCCACTTTCCTCAGAGGTTTGGTGGGAGTGTGGAACACGTTACTGAAGCCAATACCTTCTAGACATTAATTTACTAATTGCCAAACGGTCTGAACGCCGTTCTCTCATTTGTAACCATTGGTTTTCCTGAGGCTTTTCACAGTCGATTGTTCTTTAACAGTACACTGATTTCTAAAACACATCACAACCTGGGTTGCAAGTATTGGACTTATGCAGCTAAATTAGAAGATCAACTCAGTAACTGAAAGCCTGAGTGGCACACAGATCTAGAGTAAGGTCTTACAGCTGGTAAGAGGTCTGTTGTCCATAGTACTCCATCTTCTGTCCAATAGCATCACAAGACAGATGCTTACAATTTACCAAGTAAATAGCTACTAATTTTTTGGGGGGGTCGCTTTTGCCACTTTGATCCAAAGTAACATCTATTCATAGTTATTTCTACATCAGGGTATGTTATACTAGAAATAATTGCACGTTTGAGCAAGGTATGATACCCAACTGCAGTCTCGCTGCTGGGACTGAAACCACTGTGCCACACTGCTGCCTTATCATTTTTATTAATGGAGAATCTCGACCTTGGTTAGTCCTAATAGCCATATTCCTTCAGGTTTTCATTTCAGCTCAACGATTAACGATATGACTGAACTAATTAGTGGCTTAATGAGAACAGTGTGGCGGACTTTCCCGGCTTTTCGGGTGTTACTGATTTAAACGCACATGGCACACGGGCAGGAATGCGGCCCTCCAGGCCTGGAGTTGGGAATTCCATCCTTGTAAAATGCATACTGGAATTCACGTGGTTTTCTTTTCAGATTTTTAATTTAAAATGGATTTTAAGGTTGCTACATCACTAGATTTCTTTACAAATCTGCTTATTAAAAAAAAGTGATCCTGAACTTGTTTACGCAGCATACCCTTTCTCTGGTGTGATCTATGCGGAAAATAATGAATCTGAAGGGTTGGAATGAAAGGCTTAAGAGCTCCCGCTGCTTCCAAGGAATGGAGGTTGGGGCCCAGCTTTCACTTATAGAGCTTAGCCAGGGCTCCCCGTTACCTCTGTACTGCTGACGGTGAATGATTGTGCAATACGCATACCTAGCCCAGCACGCGTCCGCTTCCCATTGCACACTACACGCGCGGCCGTCGGCGGCGCGCACCGAGACTTGGTAGCTCCCAGGGTGCCGTGCTCCTGACATGACTTCCTTTCTGCTCCCTGCTCCTCTTCAAAAACAACCCATTACAGAAAGGACCGAAATACGTTGGGCGTTCGTTAACCGGAAACTGTACATAAAACTGACAGAATTTGGGATTTGTAAACGAGGTGCGTAAAGAACACGCATCGAAGCACGCCACGCAGGAAAAGTTTAATGGGGAGGCTATCACAAATCCTGAATTATGAGCACCTCTAGAAACATAACCCCGACCTCTCCCAAACCTTAAATCACTGTAGCCGATCCCTCATCGCAGACGTGGAGAAAGACGGGAACACACTGACTGAAAAAAGACTGGATGTCCTAATGAAATCAGTCTAGTGCGGAAACTGATAGAGCTTAGAATGCTGACATGTGCCTTGCGGGCACTGAATGTTGCAAATACTGTACCATCAGCGCTTGTGGCAACAAATGAAATTTTCCATTTACTGTGACATCAGGACATCTCGAGGGAAAGCATCTTAAAAATGTATATATTTACATATCATAACCGAAAGAGGAAGAGTGTTATACTGGCAGAAGATGACAAACTCCCCATATTATATATTTCAGGGTTGAATAACACTAATTGACCTTTCTCCTGGCAAAAAACAACAACCTAGAGGAATGACAAAACTTAGCAGCTGAAACCACCCTGTACACTCAGCATTGTTCAGTTCACGTAAAACTCATTTTGAGTTTTGATAGTGGCATAGCCAGGATTTGACCCTACAGTACCAATCTTACTGATCAATCCTATCCTTTCCATTTCCATTTTTCTTCAGAAAATGTGCCCCCCCCTCAGAAATAGCCTAACTAATCCAGAATATATTTGTTTTTCCCCTCATGGTTATTTGAGATATAGGTGAGCGTCCATTTAGTACATCCAGCCAATCCTAGATTCCTTTTGTAACTTTGACTGATTGAACAATATTTACAAGCCCCTTTCCAAATGCTTAAATTTGTACCGTTGACAATATCCAAATCTAAATAAAAAATTATTCCTGTTATAATAATCATAATTGTACAAGTTAATGATAAACAGACACAAACTGTTTTCATTCCGTGTCTCGTTCAGGCTTAAAGATGCAGACATCGTGTGTTCGTCCTTCAATATCTGCTACGTTTTTTTTCCCTTTGCTTTGTTTGCATTAGGGTGCGCACATTGCGTAGGTTGTTATAAACAGATATGTTTGCCTAAACCCTGCTAGGCACGTGTCCCGTGGGTCAAGCAAATAAATCGAGTAAAGTTTAACCCTTCACTGTGCGGTTTGATGTAACAGCCAATCCATGTTTGCGGCTAAACGCCTCTCACTCAGTATATTTAAGCGTCGACGAGATAACGACTCTTTTTAATCACCAGCTTTTTAACCAGGAATTTCTACCCGAGGGCCCATACTGGTTTTCCTCACAGCTCGTGATGCTATCTCGGAAATACATCAAACAAACTACAGGCGTCCCTTTAAAGATTTAAAAATCTGCAGTTTGTCAAAACTTCAAACTGATGTGGGGGACATTTTTTTTCTAGACGGGCTAATAGGGTCGTTCTCAGATGGGCTTTGTGCACCATACAATCTGTTCGTTGCAAGATATCAAAACAGCAATCAGGACTTTTCTGAATCCAGCTGGACTTCAGTTCTACGGAACGTTATCAAGAGGATACTCAAAGTGCTGTACCATAGCACTTACAACTAAAGTAAAGTTCAGGTAGGTAGCTGTGTCAGCATGCGTAGGCTGCAAAGGAACAAGTAATAGGTTTATTCCATGCTGAAAAAAAGAAGAAAGAAAACACGTTTCAGC